ATCATCCACAGAGTCGGAGGCTGTTTCTAAGGGAGCATCTCTTTATGCAGGTTGGATCTTGCAGGACGGCATTGCCAAGGGGCAAACAGCGATCCTCCACCTGGAGCGGACCGACTTGGCCTCTGGCCAAGCATGGGTGGCAAAGCCAAATTACAGTCCCAAAGCAGTGATCGCAGGATGCTGCTTGCTTGACTGCCGATGGCGCATGGAGTTTCATAAACTTGGCAGAGGCTGTTTGGCGAAGGATCGAGTCACATGTAGTGCGCTTTGGAGGGATAGTTGGTTATTGCTGCATATGTTGTGCTGCGCGTGCCTTCAGCGAAGCCTTTGAGGCACTCCTCCTGCGAGCAAGGCACTTGCACGAAAGCATCATCGACAAGAAGCGGTGGCGAGGCTGCTCAAGGGCCAGAAGGCCTGGTGTTGCAATGATGTTGCATGGGACCCCGGAGGATCATCGAACGGGTCACAATAACGTCCTCAAGTGCAAAGTTGTTGCATAATTAGATCCAACCCAAGGCAATCTCGCAAATCTGATGGAATTAGGCTGGCGGTCGCTTTTTGTGTAAAGGCTTTGTTAAGAGTGCAGCTGAGTGCGCTTTCATGCGCATTCCCTGAGGTGGCCAGGATCCTCATGCCAACCACGCTGAGCGAATACCATTTGAGGCTCATCAGGTGGCAGACGGCTATGTTAAAAGAGCTGCAGGTCGAAGAGGTTTTCTACCACATCCCAACCGAGGAGTACCGCTGCTGGATTCGAGAGGTCGAGGTGGCAGCAGGGCGTAGACTACCAGAACAGCATGTTCTCCTGGAGAGCTTTGCATCCCGAGTCATGCAGCACGTCCAAGAGCATGTACCTGCTTCTTGCAAGCTGCATTTCATCGAGCCCATGAAGACGGAGAATCTTGAAAGTCCTGTTGAATCATTCCTGTGGCCATACCGGAATGTGGAAAGCTTGACCGACCGCTCCGAAGTTGCTGCCTTTGAGGACATCGTCTATGCTTTGCCACAAGTTTTCTTGCAATTGAGGGGAGAGTTCGGGGAGTTTGTAAGCGGTTTGTGGGAGGTTTGAGGGATGAGGTTGAAGATGAAAGCAAGCCCTTCCACTTGTTCCCTTTTTCGGTGTCTCGGCTCCCGAGATCTCGGAGATCCAGCTGTTGTTTGCTTGAGCGCCTGTTGGGGTGGACAGCATCCTCGACCCAGTCTTGCAATAGAGAAATCCTGTTGAACCAGGGATTCTGCGTAGCGTTTTCCAGCAGTATTTGTGCAGGATCTGCTGGAAGTACGTCTGGGCGAGGAGGCTTTCCAAAGGACTGGCCGCAGGATCCCAACACTTTCCGTAATCCTCGATGAAGAGCACCCTTTCTATCGGAACGGTGAACAGGGATGCTGTGAGCTCTCTGTGAACATCTCTTGACGATCGTGGTGAGCGATTGGCCATGTGCTTGCTGAAAAGACTTGAAGCGCTGGAAATGCAAGTGCCAATCAATGAAATTGTTTTAGGTCTGCCGTGTGCAGTGCCCAGTGCCTTGTCTTTGTAATTTTGTAATCGCCATGTCAGCCCAGGCAATGCAAATTCGCCGCGTTATGTGCTCTTGTAGTGAGTCAATGGCCAGCTTGAGAAATTGCCATCCGCTCAGTTCGTGCTACTTACCCGCACCCCTGCGAGGATCCGAAGAGGAGCTCCACATCGAAGTTTCTATACGCTAGCCAGTAGGAGTACAGCCTAAAGAATTAGATCCTTGCATGGGTCCGCTTAGCCCGCATAGCCAGCGGCATGTTCCTTGGAACGTCTTCACGACGATGTTTGACCAATGCAAACCGCATGCTGAGCACTGGCTGGCTGTTCGGGCTCGTCCTTGCTGGCACCCTTGGCCTGATTGTATAACTAAGGCTTCAGGGCCCGGAAATCCCAAGGCTCTAAGGCTAAAGCACTACAAGGCAGTAGAAACTGAAGGTCACTCACCAGGCAAGAGAGGGAGGGAACAAGAAAGGCCGTCCACGTGCACTGTCGGCTGATCAAGATGTCGGGAAACCTAGTGGCAAGTGTAATTTGCGGTTTCTCCTGGAACACAGCAGACTTCTTTGGCAATTCCTCTTGGCCGCTTGCCTTGATCGGAAGTTGGTGGTTCAGGTTGGATCTCCAATGTGGCCAGCGGCGTTGGGGCGTCCATGAGAGCCTTTGCGATGCCCAGATCGCCATTCTTTCTGCTAGTGCTCCCCACCCTGGAGTGCGCGATGCTGATGCTTCTAATGGCAAAGATGCAAGGAGAAGAGATCTTGCTGCCGCTGAAGAGTGCTTCAACTCGGCACCATATCTTGTGCTTGACTGCTCTTGCACTCAGCAATGGCTTGTCCCTGGGTTGCATGCTAGCCTTTGGCAAGGTCTGTGCACCGTTTACGCCCCCTTTGCTCTTCGCGATGCCTCTTCAAGCCGAGGTCTTTCGGAATCTCAGACGCCTGGGTCTCGGGGGTTGCAGCGCAG